CGTTGCGGGTCAGCAGTTCGTAGACGTCGATCGTGGCCTCGCCTAACAGGGCGTCCCTTTTGATGGAGTTGTGGTTAAACACACGTAAATGTATGAACGAATACGGAGACACCAGCCTATCGTAGCAAACATTACAACCATTACAACCATTCAATTAGTATATTATTATATCAATTAAATATTAATACAATTATTTAAATGCTTTAGACGTGTGTGACGTAAAGTCACTGAATATAAAGAGTAAAACTCATAATTGATTCATTCATTCAAACAAATGTGTGTCTAATTATTAATGAGATTATTTTGTAACACAAGAAATACTAAACATAATAAAAATGCGATTTCATAATAAAGTTATGTATAAAATTTATACAGTATTACCGGTAACACAAAACCTAATCTATATCTTAATATCACTGCTAACTATAAGTACAAATAACTAACCAAATCGTAAACCATTTTATGGTGAGTTCCTTAAACCAAACACACATTTTCAATCGTTTATCTAAACGATTGGTTTACACACTAATTATCATTAACTGCAATATCTTATCAATGGTTTGACTGAATAATCAAATAATAAAAACGAGAGAAAAGGGTTTTATGGACAGAGAATCGGATACTAACAGCGGAAACACTTCATCCCATTTGGGATTATATGTGGACTTATTATAGTCGGTCTTATTAGGACTGCCGCCGTCCACCACTATCTCCACATACGGGTCCGGCTTGAAGAAGGCTGTGGTGCCCGACAACTTCGCCGACGATACTATCGATACAACAATCAATTAATACAATTCATCAACGATTAGCTAATAAGCGATTCAATACCTGTTAAATTCAACTCAAACAACAGTTCAGACATTTGACAATTGAAAGCAAAACCAATTGTTTGGTCACTGTTTTTGGTGTCGCAAAATTGAAAACTAAATTGTATTTCAGTTCACATTAAATATACAAATAAAATGTGTATATATTTTGAGCTCAAAACAACTCAATACTCGCACAAAATATATGGAAATATTATTAATGATTATTATTATTACTGAAGCGATAAAAGAAAGCACTAAAACATTGGACACAAAATGTCTTTCAATTCAATTTTGTAATATTTAAGTCCTTTTTTGATTATTAAAAATAATTTACTACAAAAACCACTGATTGTTATTATAATTAATTAATTAGTAAATAAGTCGAAACCAATTGTGGGCTATATTTGAGGCTTGATTTGTGTGTTATTGATATTCACTGCACCAGAAGTCGGACATCATTTGTAAAATACCTGTAAATATGCGATAATAAAAAAATACAACAAATTGTTACTAAAATAGTCACTCGTTATAGTGTTTTAAAAATACATTTATATAAATATGTAATAAATATATAGAAATATATATAGAAATTAATAGTAATAATAAAAACACACAAATCATATGATTTGTGGCAATGATTAACACATTTACGAAAAATTCACGTCAAAAACGAGTGAAACATTTGTAAATGAATGACAAAATTTAATTAATAAAAATCAAAACTATATCAACAAAAACACAATTTAATACCCATTTTGTAGGCGTTTTGTGTGAAGTGATGAGAGACACAGACATTACATAATAAACACACTATTATTTAGTCATTAAATTCATTGATACATATATTTTGCACACTATTTGTAGAGAAATAATTGCGTTTAGTTTTTTGGCTCACATTTCGTGTGAAAAGTAATTAATTGAATTCAAAACCAATAATAAAGTGAAACATAAAAACACTTGAATTGCACTTCAAATGCAAAACACAAAATGCATTGAATGTACGCTCAATAACGTAAACACTGGACACCTATTGTTTACAATTACTTATTATTATCGTTACTATTAACTAATCGCTATTATTAACCACATATCGAGTTCACTGGCTATACGCTCACAGCGCTAATAGTAATGGTTAACAACAATTAATTAAATACAGTGTATAATAAACACAACACATAATAGCCATTGATTACAAAAAATCATACATACATTTCACTCATATGTCTCGCGTATGGAAAACTACAGTCGACTCCCAGTAATATATATCTCCGCTTAACGCTGGCCAACGAATCGAGCCATCCGTTCGCACACAACGAGTGTTACGTAAGAATAAATGTGCGAATAAATCGTGTATTGACTGTAGTTTTGTCACTCATTTCCCCCTTTGATTGACTCGCGAAACGAAACCAACAATTCGTTCATTCAATGAGTTTTTCTCGCATCGAGTTATCAATGCATTGACAGTCACTCACACTCTCCCTCTCCCATACACTCCCATGTATTGCGAGTGTGTGTGTGATGTGACGCACACAACAACACACAACACACTATCGATCATCGATTCATACAATCAAATGCAACCCTTTGAACACATTCCGTAACGTTGTCTATGAATGACTCGTTTGCCGATTAAGTACTTTTTTATGTACTCATAACCTATGAGTTACTGTATCTAAAGGTCTTTAATTATGTTTAAACTTTTAATTACAATTTTTAAACTCAATTAATTTTATTTAAATAATTATTTAACGCAATATTTATGATATTTTAGCGTAAATTACGATTATTTAAATACATTTTACTCAATAAAACAGCCCAACAGTGAATTTAATGCTTTAGTTTAACGATATAAAAATGTATATATAAATATAATATATAGACAAAATGCGTTGAAAATCAATACAAATATGGAACAACATTTCATACACTTCTGTACTTATGAGAACTATCGAGTATTTGGTACTTTTTATAGCAATCAAACACAACATATACCGCATAAGAGAGCGTAACCACAAATAGTGCCAAACACGCGGTGAGCGATGGGTCGGGCATAGAGTGAGTCGACTGTTGTGTTGTGAATGAGTGGTGATGTCATCGAAAGGGCGTATCTCAGTGTCTATAGTAGTGTCTGAATGTGAGACGAACTGCCATTTTATTATTATTTATCATTTTATTTATTAATCCAAACATTT